ATATTATATCCGCCGACCCCGGCAGACGCAAGGGGGAGCGCGCCAGGGAATAAGACAAGCAAGTTTAGCCGCACCAGCAGCAAGAGTAGCGGCAGCAGCGAGTCCAGCACTAGCAGTAAGAGCAGCGGCACCAGCTAACGAGCAGCAGCCAATAGCCAGCAGTACGCAGGCAGCAGCAGCAGTCAACATTGGATTGGATTGGAGATTTCTAGATTTCTAGCAGATAAGAAAAAATTTCTGGTAGGATTTCAGAAGGGACGTTCCGGCCTCCAGGGAACTTATTCTTGTGATTGATTTTGCGTCATTTTCGGCACGAAATTAGGTGGTGTTTTGCCGTTTCCGCTGTGTTTCAAAAAAGGTGTCTGCCTGTTGGTTTCTTGCTTGAGCAGCCACCAGCAGCAGCAGCAGCAATCAAAATTGGATTGAATTGGATTAGATTTCTAGTAGGATAGCAGGATAAGAGAGGATTCTAGCACGATAGCAGGATAAGAAACTAGTAGGATTTCAGAAGGGACGTTCCGGCCTCCAGGGAACTTGTTGTTGCGATTGATTTGGAGGTCGTTCCGTCCTTCAGGGCCATGGTGCTTTGCTGTTTCGCAACCGCCCGCTAGGACTTCGTTTTGGAGCTGTTTTGAGGGCATGGGAGCTGGCAGCAGCAGTCAACATTGGATGGACTGGATTGGATTCGATTTCTAGCAGGATAGCAGGATAAGGGATAGCAGGATTATAGGATTTCTAGTAGGATTTCAGAAGGGACGTTCCGGCCTCCAGGGAACTTGTTCTTGCGATTAATTTTGCGTCATTTTCGGCACGAAATTAGGTGGTGTTTTGCCGTTTCGGCTGTGTTTCAAGAAAGGTGTCTGCCTGTTGGTTTCTTGCTTGAGCAGCCAGCAGCAGTAGCAATCAAAATTGGATTAGATTAGATTTCTAATAAGATAGCAGGATAAGAGAGGATTCTAGCACGATAGCAGGATAAAAGAAGATTTCTAGTAGGATTTCAGAAGGGACGTTCCGGCCTCCAGGGAACTTGTTCTTGCGATTGATTTGGAGGTCGTTCCATCCTTCAGGCCCGCTAGGACTTCGTTTTGGAGCTGTTTTGAGGGCATGGGAGCTGGCAGCGGCAATCAACATTGGATGGATTGGATTGGATTTCTAGCAGGATAGCAGGATAAGGGATAGCAGGATTAGAGAGGATTTCTAGTAGGATTTCAGAAGGGACGTTCCGGCCTCCAGGGGACTTGTTCTTGCGATTAATTTTGCGTCATTTTCGGCACGAAATTAGGTGGTGTTTTGCCGTTTCGGCTGTGTTTCGAAAAAGGTGTCTGCCTGTTGGTTTCTTGCTTGAACAGTCACCAGCAGCAGCAGCGGTCTCCAGGGAACTTGTTCTTGCGATTGATTTGGAGGTCGTTCCGTCCTTCAGGGCCATGGTGTTTTGCTGTTTCGCAACCGCCCGCTAGGACTTCGTTGTGGAGCTGTTTTGAGGGCATGGGAGCTGGCAGCAGTAGTCAGCATTGGATAGATTGGATTGGATTCGATTTCTAGCAGGATAGCAGGAGAAGGGATAGCAGGATTAGAGAGGATTTCTAGTAGGATTTCAGAAGGGACGTTCCGGCCTCCAGGGAACTTGTTCTTGCGATTGATTTTGCGTCATTTTCGGCACGAAATTAGGTAGTGTTTGCCGTTTCGGCTGTGTTTCGGATTGGTTTCTTGCTTGAACAGGCAGCAGCAGCAATCAAAAGTGGATTGGATTGGATTAGATTTCTAGTCGGATAGCAGGATAAGAGAGGATTCTAGCACGATAGCAAGATAAGAGAGGATTTCTAGTAGGATTTCAGAAGGGACGTTCCGGCCTCCAGGGAACTTGTTCTTGCGATTGATTTGGAGGTCGTTCCGTCCTTCAGGGCCATGGTGTTTTGCTGTTTCGCAACCGCCCGCTAGGACTTCGTTGTGGAGCTATTTTGAGGGCATGGGAGCTGGCAGCAGCAGTCAACATTGGATGGATTGGATTGGATTCGATTTCTACCAGGATAGCAGGACTTAAGAGGGGGAACAGGAAAGGTAGGTAAGCAAGAAAGGAACCGAAGAAAAAATGAAGGGGAGAGGGGAGGGAAAAATACATAAAGTGGAGTCTGGTAAAAGCGACGCGGCCATTGTCTTTCCAAAAATATGAAGGGGAGCCTGGTAAAAGCGACTGAAAGGCTTCGGCGATGTGGTTGGGGTTGGTGGTGGTTGTGGTGTTGGTGGTGTTGGTGGTGCTGGTGGTGTTGGTGGTGCTGGTGGTGTTGGTGGTGTTGGTGTTGTTGGTGTTGTTGGTATTGGTGTTGTTGGTGGTGGTAGTGTTTCTGGTGTTGTTAGTGTTGTTAGTGTTGTTGGTGTGGTTGGGTTTGTTGGTGGTGTTGGTGTTGTTGGTCGTGTTGTTGGTGTTGGTATTGTTCGTGTTCGTGTTGTTGTTGTTGTTGTTGTTGTGTGTTGTTGTGTGTTGTTGTGTGTTGTTGTGTGTTGTTGTGTGTTGTTGTGTGTTGTTGTGTGTTGTTGTGTGTTGTTGTGTGTTGTTGTGTGTGTTGTGGTGTGTTGTGGTGTGTTGTTGTGTGTTGTTTGTGTTGTTGTGTGTGTTGTTGTGTGTTGTTGTGTGTTGTTGTGTGTTGTTGTTGTGTTGTTGTGTGTTGTGTGTGTTGTTGTGTCTTGTTGTGTGTTGTGTGTTGTTGTGTGTTGTTGTGTGTTGTTGTGTGTTGTTGTGTGTTGTTGTGTGTTGTTGTGTGTTGTTGTGTGTTGTTGTGTGTTGTTGTGTGTTGTTGTGTGTTGTTGTGTGTGGTTGTGTGTTGTTGTGTGTTGTTGTGTGTTGTTGTGTGTTGTTGTGTGTTGTTGTGTGTTGTTGTGTGTTGTTGTGTGTTGTTGTGTGTTGTTGTGTGTTGTTGTGTGTTGTTGTGTGTTGTTGTGTGTTGTTGTGTGTTGTTGTGTGTGTGTTGTTGTGTGTGGTTGTGTGTGTGTGGTTGTGTGTGTGTTGTGGTGTGTTGTTGTGTGTTGTTTGTGTTGTTGTGTGTGTTGTTGTGTGTTGTTGTGTGTTGTTGTGTGTTGTTGTTGTTGCGTTGTTGCGTTGTTGTGTGTTGCGTGTGTTGTTGTGTGTTGTTGTGTGTTGTGGTGTGTTGTTGTGTGTTGTTGTTGTGTGTGTGTGTTGTTGTGTGTGTGTTGTTGTGTGTTGTTGTTGTGTGTGTGTGTTGTTGTGTGTGTGTGTTGTTGTGTGTGGTTGTGTGTGGTTGTGTGTGTGTTGTTGTGTGTTGTTGTGTGTTGTTGTGTGTTGTTGTGTGTGTTGTGTGTGTTGTGTCTGTTGTGTGTGTGTTGTGTGTTTTGTGTGTTGTGTGTTAAGCGTTGTGCGTTGTGCATTGTGCATTGTGCGTTGCGCATTGTGCATTGTGCGTTGTGCGTTGTGCGTTGTGCATTGTGCATTGTGCATTGTGCATTGTACGTTGTACGTTGTGCATTGTGCATTGTGCGTTGTGCTTTGTGCGTTGTTGTTGTTGTTGTTGTCGTCGTCGTTGTTGTTGTTGCTGTTGGTGTTGTTGTTGTTGGTATTGGTGTTACCCCTGCAGTGTTTTTGCTCGGTTCCGTAGTGGCCGAAAATCGTCAAATCGGTGGTGTTTTCGCGTGTTTTTGCAACTCTCGGAGCAAAAAACACCGTAAATACCGATGTTTTTGGCGGGTCGGAAGCCCAAAACCACGGTATTTACGATATTTTTTGCCTCTGGTAGTAAAAAGCACGGTATTTACAGTGTTTTTTGGCCAGCACCTAGCAAAAACACTGGTATTTACGGAGGTTTCACCATGTAGCAAAATGTGGTTTCTTGATCCGAAAAAAACAAACATACTGTAAATTACAATGTTTTGAGTCTGCTCTTAGGGTGCGTGGGAGGTGTGGAGGGGGGGGGTGGGTACTAAAATAACTAGCAATCTCCTGAAGAATCAGGTAACGGGGCTGGCCGCCCTCCACTTTACTTCGTAAAGTAAAACTCAAGACTCAAGGTAGCCCCTCTGGAGCTACCTTTTGTAATAAGGGATAGCAGGATTATAGGATTTCTAGTAGGCTTTCAAGAAGGGACGTTCCGGCCTCCAGAGAACTTGTTCTTGCGATTAATTTTGCGTTATTTTCGGCACGAAATTAGGTGGTGTTTTGCCGTTTCGGCTGTGTTTCGAAAAAGGTGTCTGCCTGTTAGTTTCTTGCTTGAGCAGCCATCAGCAGCAGCAGCAATCAAAAGTGGATTGGATTGGATTAGATTTCTAGTCGGATAGCAGGATAAGAGAGGATTCTAGCACGATAGCAGGATAAAAGAGAATTTCTAGTAGGATTTCAGAAGGGACGTTCCGGCCTCCAGGGAACTTGTTCTTACGATTAATTTGGAGGTCGTTCCGTCCTTCAGGGCCATGGTGTTTTGCTGTTTCGCAACCGCCCGCTAGGACTTCGTTGTGGAGCTGTTTTCAAGGCATAGGAGCTGGC